TTCACTTTCCCCAACCTGATGATGTATGTATCTTCCGCTTACTATGGATGAGAAAACAGACACTCTAATAAACTAATTAAAGTACATGCCTTTGAGGGGGGGGGGGGGGGGGAAACTCCCAGGTTTTTTTTTTTTTTTTTTTAAAGATTTTATTTATTTATTTGACAGACAGAGATAACAAGCAGGCAGAGAAGCAGGCAGAGAGAGAGGAGGAAGCAGGCTCCCTGCTGAGCAGAGAGCCTGATGCGGGGCTCGATCCCAGGACCTGAGATCATGACCTGAGCCAAAGGCAAAGTCTTTAACCCACTGAGCCACCCAGGCGCCCCAACCCCGGTTTATTTCTTGATACAACTTTCCTTCTCTCCCTGTCGGATGTTCTGAAAGACCGTGAGCCTAGAGGTCATTGTGACTCTCAGAACCTGGTTCTTAATGATGAAGCTGTGTTAGGTGCATTAAACGTAGCATGCACTCAGGAAAACTTCACCAAATTAAGTAAGTCATTCATTAAACAGGATCCAAACCATCTCTGAGTTGCAATCCTCAAAAATACTTGTCTATTACAATGTTGAAGAGAGAGCAAACATGAAAGCGAAAGAGAAAAAGGGTCTGTTTTTCAATGCATTCTTATGTAAGAAAAGGCTTTAAACATGAATTCACATATATTAATGAGAAATCGGTGAGGCCAGTAAACTCAGCCCTCTGTAATCACACGGCTACTGCTTCTGTGAGAATTCTGCAAGAATTCCAGATGTTGCCAGATAATTTCTGACAAACGCATGTTGTTAATGATAATTTAGAGGATGCCAGGCCTTTTTTCTTTCTTCCTTTACTTTTTTTAAACTTTACATACATCTGCTCAAAATATCTAGATTTGGTGGCCAATTATAGAAGGGGTTTCACAGAAATCTGGTGAAATAATGTCATTTTTAGCCTTCACTCTCAGCGACGGCCTCATGATTAGACATGCAATTCTGAACTTGATTTATGGAAGATAGAGGCCAATTCTCTGGCCCTGGGCCTGAACGCTGGGATGGCAGAAACCCATACTGGAAAAATTTAGTTTTCCAAGTAGATGAGGGTGATTAATGGAGAGGTTCTTCTCAAATTGGGCTCCTAAGAGTAAGCTGCTGTGCTCCCTGAAGCTGAAAATGGAATACAGGGACTGATTATTCCTAGCACCAAATGATTACAGACACTGGCTTGAATTTCACCATCATAATAGGTAAAGCAAAACAATAAAAAACACCCAGACTTAATGAAAAGAAAATACAAACTCTATACACTGAGAGCAGAGACGAGTTTGTCTAACTTAGGCCACTAATTCATGGAAAAAATCCATTGAGAGCAATTTAAGTAAAAGGAAAATTAAGTTAAGTGGTTTTCATTTTTTGGCCTACAGAGAAATAAATCAATATTTTGCTCACTGACTTTAGAAATTAAGAACAGAGAGCAAAAATCTACAAAAACGTAAAACCAAAATTAGTAAATTAAATACAAGCTAAAATCACAGTAAATAAGTAGATTCCAGTTACTAGATTATATCTTAAAAGCTCTTTAGAAGTACATCTTGATTTTATATTACTACCATTTGGGTTGAGTGTATGTGCGAAAATGGGCAGTACAAGACGAAGCCAACACAAATGAAAAAGACAGCCGTGTAGCAACCACAAGTGCCCAAGAGATAAGGCATCAGATCAAGTTATTATGAGAACAAAGAGATGAAGACACATCAAGAAAGAGAAAGAGATAGGGAAATAGAACAGAAAGCGCAAAACAGACAGACAGGTATATACAGTATCACAAAAAGACAGAAGAAGGAGAGCTAGAAAGACAAACATCTTCTTGTTTGTTTCACAAATATTTACTGAGGCAAAAACAGATCCAGAAAATGGGAGAAGCAGACAGGAGAAGCTCTGTAGGTCTTTGACCTTGACCATGTAAACTCTTGCTGTTGACTGAAATTCTACAAAATTGTTTCCTTTGTTTTTTGGAGTGGGGGGCTACTAAGCACAAAAGCCCTGTGCCAGATACCAAGGGAGACAAAGGGAGGAATAAGATAGACTGACTCCCTACCCTCTAAGGACTTATTTAAAAGCTGAACTGGGCATATGAGTAAACTATCTACTGGTTTCAACATTCTTTGAAATGATGAACTAGCCGGGAATTTAAAACAGACCTTTCCACAGTGGCAGGCAGGATTTCTGTTTTGACTTTTCAATTTAGATTATAAAGGTTTTACAGAATTATGGAGAAATACAGAACTTTCCTTTTGCACCTTCAGACGTCAGAGGCATAAATAACCAGGAGGGGAATTTCTTTGGTATGCAAAGTTGCTTGGCGGCCTAATCTTTGTCCTTGGAGAAATCAGTCTTGCTTCATTACCTGGTATCTGGGAGTTATTTGAAACCATTTCTTACTTTTTTTCTTTTTTAAATTCAATGCTATTTTTGGCTCAGTTGGGTCTTAGTGGGAAAGAACAATCAAAACAAAATTGTAACATCTTTCACTTCCCACTTCCCAAAAAACCCAACTCCTGAAACAAACCTACTTTTTTGAAAAAATAAACAAATAACTCCCATTTAGACCTACAACTAAAGCAGCCCTGCCGTTTAGAAATAGAAGGAGAGCCTGTTATAAATTTGGGGGGAGCTATACTCTAAAAAAAATAAAATTAATTTTGATAACACACTGTGGGTATGTAAATACAAAATACTACATTGTATGCATGTAAAATACCACTTCAACATGTAACCAATATATAATTTATTGAGATATTTTGTATCATTTCTTCCTCCTAAGTTTTTGAAATCAGTGGATATTTTAGACTTGTAGCATATCTCAATTTGGACTAGCCAGCACCTCAAGTGCTCAATGGTCACATGGTTACCATACTGGATGGCAATGATCTGAAATGCAGCTTCACTGTGGACTGTGTATCCATTCCAATTATTAGCTCCACCAAAACCCAACCAGATTACAACAAAATCTAAAAGGCAATTTTTGCTTTCTAAGCTCCTTGAATACTGTGTTTTAACTGGCCTTGAGGTGTTTACCTTTTGGGCACTAAGAAAGCAAGTTGAAGTGTGTGTGTAGACGGACTGGAGAAGGTATGGCTTCCTTACTTAAGTAAAACAACCAGTTCACCAGAAGTTAAGAAGGAAAATTCTAGGTGGGAAATAATGGCTACAAAAGCCAGCCCTGCCCTGCACTCAGGTGAGGGAGACTTGTCTCAGTCTGTTCCCTGTATGCTAATGAATGTACCCCTCTATCAAGCACTTACTACTATAGAATTTAAGTTCTTTGCGGGCCCACATCAGTACCTATCTCTGTCTCTCCAGTGCTTAGAAAAGTATCTGGCACACAGTTGACACTCAATAAATGTGTGAATGAAAATGAATTAATTTAAATACATATAGTTTCCCATTTGCATCAGACATGTTTCAAGTGCTCCTCTGCCACCCGCACCACTGGCTATTGTATGGGACAGCACAAATAGAGAACATCTCCATCATCACAGAAAGTTCTGTTTAGATAGCAGTGGTCTAGAGCAATTGGCAGAAATACTATTTGACTGACAGTGGTCGCTAAGGACTATAAAACTCTTCTTTTTTCCTCCATGAGCAAGTAAGAATACCAGTGATATCAAATGACAAAGCAAAAGCAAAAGCACAAATATTTTAACCCCTAAAAATTTCAAATGCAACAGCATTATGGTTTCCACTGGAAGAAGAAACTTGGCCATCTGTTTCTGCCTGAGTTTTTGCCTCCCTCTTCTGGTTTTCTTATCATAAGAAAGAAATCAGCATGTTCCCCACAAGTGCCACAAGACTCTTACCCCCTAGCCAAAATATCTAATGAATGCTTTCCCTTATTTTCTGAGATAAGTTGGCAATTTCAAAAGAAACTTCAGTACAGAAGCTAAAGGGGGAAAAATAAATAAAAAATAAAAATCGTGAAAAATTGTCAAGCTTATGTACAACATACAATTTTCTGAACCTAAGAATCCAAGGAAAAGCAGTGAATTACCCGAAGAAGAAACTGTCCATTCCCTTATCTGAAAATAGACTCCACTGGCTGAAGGGCTAGCGTAATTCTGTAGGCACATTAGCTGTATCCCTTCCTTTTCAGCCAGGAGACCTCTGGGGTGCCATCTTGGTTCCTGGCATACAGTAGTTGACGCATCTAAATATCTTGTCGCCTTCCCCATTTAAGGATACCTCTTAAGAACTCTTCATTTGACTTTAAACAAAACATTTCCCTGTTTCAAACATTGTAGCCCACTCTCAGTTTCACACTAAGATCTGAGAAACATACCTAATTACAGTTGACTTAGAGAACAGATGACCCCCACCTTTAGCTCTAGTGAATGATCTGGTCCTGTGGTTCTCTTTTCTAGGTGAGGATCAGGATTTCTGAAGATCTTTCCCAAAGTTCAGATTCCTAAGTCCCTACTCCAGACTTCTGAATCAAATCTCTGACAGCCAGGCCTGGGGATCTGTATTCTTAATAAGCATGCTAAGTGAAAATTCTGTACTCCATCTCCCTTAGGGATTGTTAATCTGTTTCCTCCTTACTTGCAGAGTCAACTCTGACCTCCTCTGGACTATTAGGTAAGGAGTTCTTCTGCCTCCACTCTATTACTATACAGTTTGACAGTGAAACAGGATCGGAAGCCCAATATCCATACAGATGTAAGGGGGACAGGGATAACAGGAGTTTTCATGTGAGTCAGAGGTTTCTATAACTCTACTGCTTTTCCAGAGAAATCAGTTTGAATCTTCTAACTCTATGGGATTCAAATGTCCCAAAACAAATAGCTCTCAGCCTGACATTAATGCAGATTCCAGCAAGATGTCTTGCTATATTAATTAACAGTCAGTCTGTCAACTAGAAAGACCAATATTGAGAATGCAGAACTTGAAATAACCCAGGCTTGCTATTGAATCTGAATGTATATCTCTGGTGCTTATCTTTTGATATTTTAAATAACAATCACTTACCCTTGACCTATTTTTTCAAATCTTGTGTATTTTTTCTTTGGGTCACCAACACTCACAATGCTTCCTGAGTATGGGGGTGGGGGGAGAGGAAGAAAGAGAGAGAGAGAAGATTTAAATTGGGTGGTTGATTTCCCTTTATTTAATACTAAAAATTACAATGCCACAGTCAATGACAAATAAAACATCAGAGCAATATTTTCATGTATTTTCTATAATTTTTATGGCTAATAATATGTTTTAAGTTAAAGTAACAAACAGTAACATATTAATTAAAATAGTAGTAATAACCTGTGCTGTTTTATATTCAAAATTGATGATGTTTGAGAAACAAAAAGGACTGGACACAACTCAACATTTATAAAAAGTTCGCATAAAAGGATACTGTAGATCAGGAGATACAAACATCTAAGAACTTGCATGAACTATTTAATAAAATCACTATCTTCTCTGAATTGGAGAGAAATTGAGTGCTACACTATATTCAGTTCTGCTGGACAAATATCTCTTAAGCCATTACTATGTACCCAGTACTGCGTTAAGAGTGATAGGGTCTAATAAAGAACAAAGTTGACTTATAAAGCAACGAGACTCATGCTTTCTGAAATCCTACACCCCCAAACCCAGAACCCTCCATGCACTCCACTTTTTAGTAATAACTTTACTGGAATATGACTTCCATACCATAAAAGCTCACTCATTTAAAGGGTGCAATTCATCAGTGCTCCCAAATGTATGAAGCAAACACTGACAAGAGTGAAGGGAGCTATTGACAGCAACACAATAATGGTGGGAGACTTTAATTAATAGCTCGCTTTCAATAATGGATTGAACAACCTTAGAGAAGATTGGCAAGGAAATGGAGGACACAAACAACACTATGGATCCATTAGAGCTAACACATTTATGGAACTCCTCACCCAGAAACTGAGGAATACACATTTCTTTCAAGTGTACATGGAACATTCTCCAGGATAGACCACATGTTAGGCAGCAAAGCAAGCCTTAGCAAATTTTACAAGGTTGAAATCGTACACAATGCCTTTTCTAATCATAATGGATGCAAACTAAAAATCAATAGCAGAAAGACAACTGGAAAATCCCAAGATATTTAACTAAGACATGCGTGAAAGAAGATACTTTAAGAGAAATTTAAAAATAGTTTGAACTAAATGAAAATTAAATACAACCTATCAAATTACGTGGGATGCAGAAAAAGCAGTGCCCAGTATTTTTTTAAAAAGGAAAAAAAATTAAGTGTACAATTCAATGGATTTTCATAACTTTTTTGAGTTATGAAAATTTATTAAATTTCACCATAATCTCATTTTAGGAGGTTTTGATCATCCCAGAAAGAAACCGTGTACCTGTTCACAGTCACTCTTCATCCATCCCTCCCCCTAGGCAACCACCAATCTACTTTGTGTTTCTATAGACTGTTCTAAACACTGGGGAATAAGGTGGTTTATAACCATGCAAGAAAAACATTAAATTTATCATGTTTGGCTATGGGAAACAAATATTGGGTTTTTTTTATTTCACAATACCAAATCCAGTACTCAGAGGATGAATACACCACTACCGCTCAAAACAAATCTAAAAGAAGTGCCATTGACCCTTCAATGCAGGGCTTGAATGAATGAAGAAAAATTCTGGGCCATAACAGCATCATGGGAATACAGGTTTAGGTTCTCAAGTGGATTACCTTGAACAGAATCATTTATCTAGATGTCTCTGGCTCTCCCTTTTTTTTTTTTTTAAGCAAACATATCGGTACCATTACCTTTGACTTATATCTTACTATCACGGCTCCGTTTGAAAGAAGTGTAGTGTCAATAGGATAAGATTTACAGCATGAACTATTTAAGAGAAGGTCTCTACATTCTATCTCCTAATGTCCACTCTTATTCATTCCCTCCTCTTCATGCCCATGGCCAGTTCCATTGTTCAGGCCCTTAACACCTCTTGTCCGAACAATTGCACTAGTCATTACCTACCTCAATACTCTACCTTCTCTATCTTCCACAATGCTTTAGGAATAGGGCCACCATATAGTTCACAAACCAAGACTGTCCTGGGTAAGCTGATATGTACAGTTGCCCTTCTTCAGAATGATTTCACTCTTCCTTACAATGCCTCAAAATTTCCTCCTTGCTACATAATCAAGTCCAAATTTCTTAGTCTGGCATAGAATGCTCTTTACCGTCTAGCACCAACCAACTCCTACCTAACAAGACTAATCTCATATAATTCCTCTACTCTCCATCCCTCCTACTTTAAATCCTAGTAATGCTATCACTATTGAAGGCTTAGGTCTTTGCAGATGCTCCCCCTTTTCCTTTGCTATCTAACCCACAAATTCCTATTTATTACTTAAACATGTCAAGTCATCCTAATTTGTGAATTCTTCTCTGATCCCTCTAATGAGATTCTCATGTTTCTTTTTGAGGGCAAAAACCTTGTCTTTTCTTCCCTATAACTTCAGTGTCTAGAACAATGGCTGTCACTGAACAGATATTTATTGACCAAATGCATGAGGACAAGAAAGTATATATTCGAGTGCTAAACTGTGTGCTACAAACAATACCTAGTGTTCAGACCTACCAGTAGATGGTATACCTTGAAAAAAAATATATGTTTCAATCCTGGACTGTTCATCAAGCTGTTAGATTTTTTGGTGGTGGGGGTGGTGGTTTGTTTTTTTCATAACACAAGTCCATGTTTCAGTGAAGTTAAATAAGACATACACAATATGTGAGTTGTTATAATGCTTTTTCTCTTGCATTTCCAATCTCAGTCCACTGAACTACCATCTGTCCACTTAGTAGCCCAAGTCAGAAATCTGGGAGTCTGATCTGACTCATCCCTCTCGTTCACTACCTCCATGCGGCTGTCCTCCAAGTCCTAAGCCTGCATCTGTTTACCTCCCAGAGACCTTGTCAATCTGTCCCTTCCTCGTTCCTACTGTTCTAGTTGGGCCCTCATTGTTTTTGTCTGGGCTATTCTAACAGCCTACTCATTGAACTCCCAACAGCTAGCCTCTTCACACTCCAGTCTGGGCTCCACACCTCACTCTGGCAGGGTGCTCTAAGTGCAAATGCAATCATGTGATTCCCTGGTTCAGAAGTCCTCAAAGCTCCCCCTGATGCCTACAGGGCAAATCTCAAACGCCTTGGCAGGGAGCACAAGGCCCTTAGTATCTGACTTTTGCTTCATTCTCCATCTCTTTTCCACCACTTCCCCACTCAACCCTCATTGCTTTGACCATAACAAACTGCAGGTAATGGTGAGCTCTTGCTTGACAGGTAAGCTTCCTTTCTTAAGACTCCAATCCTTCAACCTACCACCAATGATATAATTAAGTGACATTGAATAAGTTAGCATTCCTGGGCATATGCCTTCATACCTTCTAAACTTGCTATTCTCCTGCCTGGAATGTCCTTCTTAAATTTTCAAGCTCCTATTCATGCTTCAGTTTAGCTTCGATGGTGCCTCTTCTAGGAAGACTTCCCTGATTTTTTTTCAAATAAAATTAGCAATTCCCCTTTATTCTACTGTACCTCCTCTCTCTCTTTCTGTCTCTCTTGCCTTTGCATTTACAGTACTTCTCTAAACTTAATACACCATGTATCCATCTTTATATATTTGACATCCCCTTATAAACTATGTCTAAAGGACAAGAGTCAGGTCTCACTTATTTCTGTATCCTCAGCACCTCCCCAAACAATGTTGTGTGAGAAATACATTAGTTACTCAATAACTGTCTGTTGCATTGAACTCAAATACAATTAGGCATTTCCTTTTGTGAATGTCCCATATTTTAAGAAAGGGGTTGGAGAACGTATTTTACTTGAGTTACATCTACAGAATGCCACCAATTTAACAATTTCTGAATTGCCACTTCACTTTTCAAATTGTCTTACAGATTTCTACATCACTGAGAACTATCCTTATTCAAGTAAGCTATTAATGGATAAAGGCCTGGACTTTCTTCTTTTTTTCTTTTCTTTGTTTCTTTTTTTTTTTTTTTTTTGGTAATGAAATGACAATTTGAAAGTCACTTGAAACCATCATTTTATTAAGGAGTTTATAGTCTTCTAAGAAAGTTATACTATTAAGTTGCTGAGCAAACTCTTTTCCATAGACTGAACAAAAGCAAATAAGCTTCAGCCCAAGCCACTTTCTGAATTATGACCAATTTCAATTGGCAGGGTTCAGTTAATGAGGTTTTATGGTAGTAAATTACTCAACCTTTATTTCCTTGGAATGCAGAGTTTAAAAAAAAAAACTGGAAATAAATCCTTTCATGAGGATTTCCAAAAGACAGCCATTTTGATGAGCTCCTGCCTCTGGATTGAACTGCTGTTCAAATAAAATGGCGTCTCCACACCCACTACCCTTCACAGGAGAGTGTGTGCTGCCATCTACTGATGTGAGGTAAGTGCACAGGAGGTCTTGTTTATGATTCCCAATCACAAAACAAGCTTTTCAAGTGACCTCTTTCATCAGAGCCACTGTAATCGGTTTTTATAAATTACGCTAAGGAAAGGGAAGAAAAACCCCACTGTGACACAATAGGGGAAAACAGTGACAAAAATGAGCAACTCAAAATCAAAAGGATAAAAAAAAGTAGCCACACCAAAACAATTTTCCTACCAGGGCAATTTCTTAAATAAGAAGCCAACTATTAATTTGAAAGTATGAGGACTTAAGAAATGACTAAATAGTAGTATTTGAAAATAGGGTTCATGGTGTGGTTTCAGTGACAGAAAATCCTATCAGGGTATTTTCCTACATATTAAGCTAAGTTGAACTCTGACCATTGAAAAGATTATTCCTTTAGCATACCAAGGAGGTTTGGATTCCTGAGAAAAAAGCAAAAATAATTCTCTAAATTAATATTAGTCCATCTGAGGGGGAAATTAGAAGAGTTTTGAGTGGGGAATGCTGGAGAAGGGGAGGGACAAGAAGAGGAGGTGATGGTGGGGCCCAAGACAAATTTCCTGCCTTGTACTATTTTGCTGACAGTGCCTTTTGGGAATTTTCTCTAAAATGTAGGGGTTTCTTCATTTTCCAACAGATTCAGACAGACCACAATGAACAAGCCAGACCCAGGCTATCTGTCTGTGTAAAACTGAAAGATGATCTGTTTATTTCAGCTATTAATGATCCCATGGTCTGCCCACCCCCCCCCCCAATCAGCAACTGCGTAGAAGAGGAATAGCCTGGCGGCTCTGTGGTCTGGGCTGCCCACCTCATAGTAATTGGATCCCTGAGCCCAAAGATGGCTGCCATCCCTCCATCCCCATGCTTATGGTGGGATCTGCTCTGGTACAGGCTATAGGCTCTTCCTTGACCTCTCTGGCTCCCAGCCTCCTCTCCTTTGCCTCTCAGCACAGGCTCATTTACTCCTTCCCTAAGCTCCAAAGGGGGCCTTGATTCTCTCAATGACTTCTGTATAAGGACCATGCATCTTAGCTTGTTTCTGGTTTCAAACATTCTGTCCCACTGGGCGACCCCCACTTTTTTATGTTGCAAAATATGGTGGCTCTCATTTGACAAAAATAACATGATTAAATGTGTACTACTATTTATTGTGTTAGGTGTCTTACATACTTTACCTTGTTTAGTCCTCACCAAATCCCTATCACATTGGTACTAGTACTACTTCAATTTTTCAGATGAAGAAACTGAAATTCAGAGAAGTTGACTGACTGGCCTAAGGACACACAGCTAGTCTGGGCCTATGACTCAGACTCCCTTATGATTCATTCCAAAGCCCGGTCTAGTGTACGATCTTACGAAGGCTTTACATTCATGTAATAAAATGGTAATTCCCATTTACTGAGCACCTACTGTGTACGAGGGACTGTGGCTGAGGTTTTTATATGCCTGATTCTCATTTAATTATTATTATGCCATGACATTGGTACTATTGATATCTCCATATTTTTCTTTTTAGATGAGGAAAAAGAGTTCAAGGAAAGTTAAATCACTTGCCCAGAGGAACACAAGAAAGGGGCTTGTCATTTCTCACTCCAATACTTGTCTTCTTATTCACAGGTTGAGTTACATAAAATCCATCCTGTAGGGGTGCCTAGGTGGCTCAGTCATTAAGCATCTGCCTTCTTCTCAGGTCATAATCCCAGGGTCCTGGGATTGAGCCCTGTGTCAGGCTCCCTGAGCCTGCTTCTCCCTCTGCCTCTTCCCCTGCTTGTGTTCCCTCTCTCTTTCTGTGTGCAAATAAATAAATAAATAAATAAAATCTTTTAAAAAAAATCCGTCCTATAGACAGAATCCTCAAATGCAGTTATGATTCTTATCTCTTATGCTCAGAGGGGTGAAATAAATCATCTGAACTTATAGAGTGAGGCTGTGGCAGAGAGAGAAGGCACATAGGGGGTGCATGTCCACAGATGCAGCAGAAGTAGGAAAGACCCACTTTGCAGATTTTGCAGTATAGCTCAGCCTGGACCCGCTTCATGAAAAGCATTCTACCATTCTCTCTAGGTTCTCCCTGCCAAGATCTGGAAGTGTGAGGTCAGATTGGCAGTTACAGGTGGCCTACAGACCAGAGAGAAAGTGAGTCTCCCAAAGCCCGAGTAGTTTCTAGGTGAGAAGAAAACACCCAATCCTTCATTAAAAAATGTAATCGAAGGCAGCTTACTCCTCTTCATCATGTTGCTCAGGGCAGGGCAGAATACACAAACAGCAAGAGTGACCATGGTTCACTCTGCAAGGAAAGCCAGATTTTGGCACAAGAGAAGAATGTTCGTCTCTCTGTCAGTAAGTATAAGAAACCCAAAAATGCATCTGCATTCTAATAAATCAATTAAGATTTGAAACAAAGACCCGTCATAGTCATTTTTTTAATGAAAGCAAAGCTGTCAGATTTTAAAAATCTAATAAAATCTCACAGGGTCATGTCTACATGTATAAAATAAAGAAAAGAATTGAGGTAACTATCTGAATAATTGAATTGGAATTATCCAGGAAAGTCTTTCTTTTTCTTTCCCTCTTCTATATATAGACAGTTGGGATATGCAGAAGCAAAGTGGGTTAATAGAACTAGTCTCACCTTTGAAGGCAAACAGAGTTGAGTTCAAACTCGGGTTCCACTACTCATTTTAGTTTGGTAACCTGGTCTCTTTACCTTTTTGAGGCTTACTTTCAGTGATCTGTAAAATGAGGATATTTAAATCTACCCCAAGATATTATGAAAATTAAACCTTACCATGTATGTAAAGTGGCCAGCACTGAGAATTCTCAATAGATGTGAATTATTACTACTGTTATTACAGCAAATAGTAGGTATTAGCACCAGAGGCATATTTAATCACGTATAGTAAAGTCAGATGGCTGAAGTCCCAGTGATTCCGGTTCCAAACGCTCACTGCCAACCTTTGCCTTTCCAAATACCTCTAGCTCAGAATGTCTCAACCTCAATACTACTGACATTTGGGGCTGAATAATTCTTTGTCACAGAAGGGGAAGGATGGGCATGTCTTTAGCAACGTAGAGATTTTAGAAACATACCTAGCCTCTATCTACTACAGGCCAGTAGCCTTCCCTGTGCTGTGACTATAAACATGTCTCTGGATATTGCCAAGTATTTCCTGGAGGGGCAAGATGACCCCACAAGCACCTATGCAGAGTTTTCCTGAGGTATCCAGTGGGAACCACTTGCTTCCTTCCCTGAGGTGAGATGGAAATTTGCATGAAACCAGACAGCTTCCTTTTCTCTAATTGTATCACATTATTGAATCTTATTATCCAAATAAAATTGCAAGTTTCCTGATGGCAGGAAATTGTTTTTCTACGGTTTCCTCCAAAGATTCTTACATAGAAGAGACAAGCAGGGACTCAGTCAAGGTACATGTTTTTTTGCTCACTCTTTCATTCATTCACTCAAAAAACATCTGTTAAATGCCTTTATGTACCAAGCACCTTTTTTTAAGGAGCTGGACATTCAGGGAAAGGAGACACAGTCCCCTCCCTTAAGGAGCTCACAAGTCTAAGTGAAAGAGATTGGACTAGTATGGTGTGATTTGCTGCCATAAAGGCAGTAAACAAGAGGAGCCCTTAACTTAGACTGGGAGAGGCAAAGAGGGCTGTACTGAGGAGGCCACATTTGAGTTGGGGTTTGAAGGATGAAGAGGAGTTAGTAAGACTGGGGGCACTGATTGCAGATAACCAGAAATGTGTTAGATGTTTCTGTATCATGAGTTTAATGACTGTGCTTCACAGACCTTTGGCTCTTCTCAGCAGACAATGTCTTTTTCTTAAATATCCTCTATCCAGAAAGCTAACTGAAAGAGGATTGTTTCATGAAACTGGAGTGAGTGTGTATGCACAAGCGTGTACGCAATAATGACACCAGGGGAGGGAGTTTGTGAGCATTTGCTGGCCCTGTTCCCCTTTTCCACATAAAAATGCTCCAAAGTTAAGGGGAAAGACTATATTACTATGGCTGCTGATTTTGATTGACTGCATTGAGCCCTGAGCTTGACTTATCTATCATGATGGATCAGTTGGGAGACCTCGGGAGATGATCAAAAGATATGTCATCAGATTATTTTATTCCTTTCGGGAGCATCATTTTAAAGTAAAACGCTGTTTAATTCATCATGTCAAGTTTTCACCTTAATTGATTTTATCAAGTGAAAATATTTAGTTTCTGTCAAATTTGGAGCATGGGGGAAGGAGTGATCTGGAATACAGAGCAAGTTCAATCTTATACATCTTCTGACTTCGGGGAGCCTGGAGTTCATGCAAGGAGGCCCAAACTTTGAAAAGATCGGTCCCCACTTTAAATGTTTTACAAGAGACCATCCCATGAAGAAATGATGGCAGAAAACAAAAGAAATCAAAACAAAATACCCCCCAAACTCACTTAGCTTCTCTAGGATCTCCTCGTCTGTCATCTTAGATTTTTTCCTTTGCCGATCCGTGTTTCTGTACAAAGTACTGGAGTTGGCATTCTCAGCAGAAGGTGGTGCGACCTCTTTATTTGGTGCTGCTGGTGAAGCAATGGATTCCAGCACAGAACGAGTGTAGATCTTAAAGATAAGAAAATAATTCTGCGATGAAAACAGTAGGCCAGGGAAAGGGTTATGAAGTCAAGATGCTGTCATGGCAATGAGGTTTTATTTTTTTTCATTAACACAAAATTTTAAAGCAGTTTTTGGTTCACAGACAAGTTGAGAGGAAGGTACAGATTTCCCAACTGCCCTCTGTGCCCACACATCATAGCCTCCCCCATTGTCAACACCCCCTGCCCAGTGTAGGACATTTGTGACAACTGATGAACCTACATTGATGTGTCATAATCACCCGAAGTCCATAGTTGACATGAAGTTCTCTCTTAGGGTATACATTCTATAGGTTTGGACAAATGTATAATGATGTGTATCCGCCATGATGGCAATGGAGTTTTGTTATTTCCCTAAAAATCCTCTGTGCATTGCCTATTCATTCCTCCTACACTCCCCAACGCCGACCCCCCGTGAGTTTTTAAAGTCAAGTGATTAATTAATTATTAAGCAAGAACTTTAAGTTGCTTCAAATATACTGTTCTTGGAAGCTCTCAGGATCCCACCTTCTGAGGTTCCCCATACATGCTGTGCTAATTCTGGCCTTGGTGCCCCTGCTTAGGCAGTTCTTCCTACTTGATTCACATGGATTTCCTTCTCTAATTTAACTTCGGTTGCAATCTTATAACTTAGCACTTATTTGCATGTTGTTCGGTATCATTCTCTAATTGTCACGTACCATCTTGTATCCCCAAAGAGCAACCTCAACCAAGGTTGTACCAGATATTCTAGTTCAGGAAACACAGTAGATACTCAATAGGTAGGAGTGGATGGACTAGATTCTGACTCTACAGTTGTTCCAGAGGACATCTTTCGAGTCACTTAGAAACAGTCATTCGTCACTTACTGATTTTGTATGCTCGGGTCTCGGTGCGATAACTGGTGGGGGCTCGTTGTCGTCTTCTTCTTCTTCCTCTTCTTCATCTTCTTCTTCAGACACTGGAGGAGCCAAAGGAGGCTCTGATGCTGTTTTTGTACTCTTATGACAAAAACAAAGTTTAGAGACCAGGTATTAACACCCCATTGTTTTTCTCAGAAATGAGAAAAGGGAAATGAAATATTGGATCACATAGGGATATGAAAAAAAAAAACTGCACCTTTTACAAATTAGCAGAACCTCTACAGTTTGGTGACCGGGACTGCCCTCATTCCGAGGTAAATTCAGGTCATGGTTTTAAACATCATGACATTTTTAACAAAAATCTTTCTTATTTTCCACTGAGCTCAGAAACAGTGAGCTATTCATTTAGTATTTGAGAGTTCAATGTTTTGGAAATCAATGAATAATATATTTTTAAAATGTTATTAAAGCCTTCAATTTGTACTGGGCCGATTGTCAATTTGTTGATTGATAGTTTGTCCACCAGAAAAGGGCTGTTTTGTGCCTAAAGATCAGAGCATGCATATGGATATGGTATTAATACAGCTCTGCAAATACTCACTAAGTACAAGCAAGCCCATAAATGTTGCTTCCCTGTTCAGCCTCCTGGAAAGAAGCACTCAGAAAATAAGAGACATGAAGATCTAAGGAATATTCATCAACATAAATAATTATTCAGTCTTAACCAACAGGTATAAATGGTGCTTTGCAACGTTAAAAACTGCAATACCACCACCAAAAACAACAATCATCGTATCTAGGATCGGTTCTTCATCATTCATATTAATGCAGGGGTAAAAATGGTTCTAAAGCTGAATTTTGAAAGCACTTTGACCATGGTTCTCAAATTGTGGTCCCCAGACCAGCATCATCACCAGGAACTTGTTAGAAATGCAAATTCTTGGGCTCTACCCACACTAATGAATCATAACTCTGGGAGTGGGGCATAATAGTGTGTTATGACAAGCCTTCCATGTGATTCTGGTTCAGGCTCAAGTTTAAAAATCACTGAATGATGATAGAGGTCTGTGTTGTCCATGGCTAATGAACAATTCCAATGTGACTAGTCTGAATTGAGGTGTGTTGTAAGTGTAAAATATATATTGCATTTTGAATATGTAACATGAAAAAAATTGTAAAATAGTTCCTTGGTGAAAGACATTTCCTTTTATGTTGTGTATATGTTGAAATGATAATATTTTGAATACATTTGGCTAAGTAAAATATCATTAAAAATTTCATCTACTTCTTTTTTTTTCTATGTGGCTACTAGAAAATTTAAAGTTACATATATGGCTTTTATGACATTCATTTCTATTGGAAGGCACTATTATGGATGGTTTTTTATTTTTTGGTGTGTGTGTATGTATTGGTTTTTGGTTGATGCCTTTGGGTATACTGGCTCAAGCTAATCCTAAAAAAGAATTTTCATTTCTTGAGGACAAAACTCCTAAGTTAAATGCAAGGAGGCTAATAATAGACTGTAACAACAAAGGACCTCAGGCTATGGTTGAAATTCAACTTGGGTCTTCTACAATCATGTATAAATTGATGGTAGAGCTATAAGATGCAATCATATATCTGATCGGAGATGGTAAGATTTATCTACTGTGCAAAGGAAGACAACTTAGAATTTATAAGAAAGTATTTGAAAGAATATCTGCTTGCCCTGATACACATACTGAGTGGCTTATAGACTGAAATTTATATGCTTATTTGATATTGGTTTTCTTATTTATACACCTGTATTTAGTCCTAATTTGGCCAAAAGAGCTAAGCTATTATGTTGTACTATGGCTGTGTGGAAAGTGACATATGTTAATGACATTAAATTGCCAGAAAAAAAAATCAGTTTCTTCTTGTAAAAGACTAATTCTTCAAGGCACTTCAGTGGGGAACCTTAGAAATTGCTTCTAGTTTATTGGTGTTTGCTTTGAGATTATTTTGTTTCAGAAAGTTCTGCTCTACCTTACTCCAGCTGGGATCAAGAATGCACCCAATCATTGTTCACTGGCAGAAGGGTAGAACTGCATATAAACGGACTACTTTTTATATGGCAAATGAAGCTATCTAATCTATCAGGCAATATGAACTATGGTTAGGAACAGTAAGCTTTCCATGAGCCTATGAAAATATCTAAAGTCAGAAATAAGTCATTGCCCCCAAAATGTAACAAAAAACTATAAAATCTAAAGTAATTAATGTCTAATGACATGTCTATGAAGCATATATGTCAACTTCACTTAGTGACTTCAATTTAGTAGTTACAGACATTTCACTGCATTAAAAACCAAATTGTAGATTAGATTATCTTTAGCAACCACTCCTGAGTAGTCATAATGACTTCCAGTAAATGATACCTAACCAAAAATTCAGTGTTACTTGTAATCACTTAATTTCAAAGTCAATATTTTTAAAATATCACTTTAAAGAGTTTACAGCAAAAAAATTATATGGGGCAGAGGTGCCCTTTAATATATTTGATATAACACACCATGTAGTCTCCATAAATGAGAATGTATATCAGCCTATGAGGATCTAAAAATTGCCCTGTTACCAAATAAAATGGGCCTAGGTCTAGATTCCTCAGACTGGTACAAAGACCAAGCAGTACTACTGACCAAGAGGTAACCATGTACATCTCAATGGTGACTGTTTAACTAAAGAAGAGCTGCCTGCAAAATGTCACTGTTTCTTAACATTCATTACTAATCTCACTATTCCTGTTTCATATGGGGGACACTCCCCATCTCTGAGGACAGACTAAAGGACTGTTAGGAAACCTGAGGTTTTTCACCTTCTGAAGGTATGTGGGGGAGGAAGAAGACTAATGTTTCTGTTTATCTGGGACCAGACACTATACTATCATGTTGGCTGGTTAGTTGGAAAGAATGTGTGGCCTTCAGGGGACATTTGTTTGTTTGTTTTTAGATTTTATTTATTTAATTGACACAGAGAGAGAGAGAGAGAGAGAGAGCATGCACAAGCAAGGGGAGCGGCAGGCAGAGAGAGAGGGAGAAGCAGGCTTCCCCTGAGCAGAAATCCCAGGATCCCAGGATCATGACCTGAGCCAAAGGCAGACACTTAACCAACTGCGCAATGCAAGCGCCTCAGGGGACATTATGTTTTGCATGACAGTTGGGCCAGGGAACATGAGCTGACCCAGAACATAGCTAGAACACCAGGTGTTGTTCCTGAGGACTGAAATCAACATGATTTCCTGGCCCCACGTTAAGTAAGAATAGGACCAGGCATACTTACCCAACCCTGTGTAAATAATACTGGGGCTGGGCCTACTTTCTTTTCCCTGTGTTAAACAGCATCAGGTGAGAGCATATTTTCCTGTTCTTACGTTAAAAACTATGAGAACAAGCAAAACTAGCAGTTTCTTACTTCAAGAAATGCTTATTCTTGGAAGATAAGACTGAACCAACCGAAGCATTTTACTTAGTAAGAATAACAGCTTGCTCACCAAGACTCTTTTGAAGACTCTCACTTCACCAACCTAAAGCTATTTAATCACAAACACTGCACAATCCTAACCTGTACCTTGCCTTGTAAGACCTGCTTTAAAATCACATAGCCATGAGGTGCCTGGGTGGCTCAGTGGGTTAAGCGTCAGGCTCTGGATTTATGCTCAGGTCATGATCTCAGGAAACTGAGACTGAGCCCCACATGGGGCCCATCGGGAAGTCTGCCTCTCTCTCTCTCCCTCTGCCCCTCTCCCCCTCAAACAAATAAATAAATGTTTAAAAATAAAATCAAGGCCACTGGGGTGGCTTAGTCAGTTGAGTGTCTGCCTTTAGCTCAGGTCATGATCCCAGGGTCTGGGTATTGAGTCCTATGTCAGGCTCCCTGTTTATCACAGAGTCTGCTTCTCCCTCTCTCTCTCTGCCCCTGCTCCTGCTCTCTCTCTCTCTCTCCCTCTCTCATGTGTGCACACTCACTCTCTAATAAATAAATAAAATCTTAAAATGAAATAAAATGAAATCACATAACCATGCTCTAAAACCCTATAAATGTTCTTCCCTGACATCCCCTTTTTAATACACTGCAAAACTCTATAAAGGGAGGGCTCTTTCTTGCTGCTAGAGTTTAATAAACAGCTTGGCTTATTAACAGGTCACAGGTATATTGCACAGGTATATTGTGACCTTATTGCAGGTCACAGGTATAATGTTGCTACGCTCTCCCTTCTAGGCTGAGAATAACTATGTCTGTCTAAACTTGAAAAAGAGGGGTGCCTGGGTGGTTCAGCCACTGAATGTCTGCCTTTGGCTCAGGTCATGATCCAGGGTCCTGGGATCAAGTCCCACATCAGGCTTCCTGTTCTGCAGGAAGCCTACTTTTCCCTATCTCAATCCCCTTGTGTTCCCTCTCTCACTGTGTCTCTGTCAAATTAAAAAAAAAAATACTTGAAAAAGAATGTCAATAGATATTCTGGTTTCTCTTCAGATGATAACTGGAGGGGAGGTGTGTGGGATTTTGGGTGAAATAGGGGGATGGGGATTCAGGAGAGCACTTGCTGTGATGAGAGCCGGGTGTCCTATGGAAGTGTGGAAACTACATTGTACACTTGAAATTCATATTAATTACACTGTATGTTAACTAGCTGGAATTAAACCAGTGAGTAAAGAATGTTTTTGTCTTACTGAAAATTTGTGATACTATTCTTGTGCCACATGGTGGGGCAAGGGAGGTGATTATTGACATAAGCGGGGTCCTGGAGTCTTTTAGAACTCTGAAGTGTTTGGCCGATCTCTCCAGAAGGATACAGGTAGGTATGCACTTTTCCATATAAATTCTCTTCTCTTCTCTTCTCTTCTCTTCTCTTCTCTTCTCTTCTCTTCTCTTCTCTTTTCTTCTCTTCTCTTCTATTCCATTCCATATAAATTCACAGAGATCTTATGAAGCCAATCCCTATGGACTCTAAGTTATAAACCCTGCTCTAGACAATACCTCAGCTAGAGGAACTGCCTTAGGAAACTCTTCTTTCTTTGAGCTTCCTTGTTAAAGGTCAAAGGAATTAGAAGTAAGGACTTTGGAGACTTCAGATCACGCTAAGTGTGGTCTATGGGCCATTTCTGGTGCTTGCTTAAGATGCAGATTTCAGGGTTCCATTCCATTTTGACTTGCACCTTCTTCCAGGCAGATCTGATACACACTGAAGTACAGGGACCACTAATCTAGATGAACAAAATAAACCAGTACTTCGAATTGAAAGCTCAGTCTGTGTCAACTGAACAAATCATGCATGACGTTCTCGGCACAAATCATGACATAGTCACAGTAGTTCTCTGGGCACAAATCATGACATAGTCGCAGTATTGTTGCTACTTTCCACTCAAGATACTAGTCCAGGATTCTAAACGCAATCTTTCCTCTCAATAGTCCAATACAAATATAAGATTTTAAAGTAGTCTTAAACTGAAGAGTAGGTCCCTGAACAGTATTTAGCATTTAATACACTCACATCAAAGAAGCTACCTTAAGTGAGTAGTAAAGCAGATGTCACAGGACTAAAGGAGGGATTGCTGAATTCAATATTAATGATACAGTCACTCGTTTAAAATATTTAGTGACTACAACACTTCTTCTATGGTAATTCCCACCCAGGCTATTAGAGGATGCCAAAACTGGTGATCAGTTTAGGCTCTGTCTATAAGGGATTGTCCAATTCCATTAAATCAGATCTTAAAGGGTAGCCAGGTCTACTTGGGAGTGTTTCTAATGCAAGAAAGCCTAAGGACCATCAAGGCACTCTCCCCCTGGAACCATAAGGAGAGCACAGGGTGCTCTCAATTCCCCATTCCTAAGTAACTGAGTTCTACTGAAGGGATCCAACCTAAACTTAAGGGTCTAATCCAGTTCATTCAATCAATAGAAACCCAGCCTCAGTTACGTGGTTTAATTAGTATCTCCACCTGGGAGTCCTACCAGCTCTTCAGACTCCAAACTATCCAATAGGAAACTCAGCATCTGCTCATGGAAATTTGTAACTCCCAAAAGATGGCATCCTCACACTTCTGCCCACCCATGTATCATTTCAAGCCTTTGACCTTGACCTTTCCTCCAACATCCAATTAATAACCTAAACATTTGAACCTCATCTCCATTCCTTCTGCCACCATCTCCATTAGGCCCTTGTTACCTATGGCCCGGATGCTTACGGGACTCCTCCAACTGATCTTCCCTTCATCCAGCCTCACCTTCTGCCCCTAATTCACTCTGGATGTTTGCTGTCAGGTAACTGTTCCCAAAGCATAAGCTTTCATTGCCTAATTCTCCTGTTCCAAAAAACTCCAAAAACTTCCCAATGTATACTGGAAAAGGCCAGATTTCTCCCTTCCTTCCTCCCTCCCTCCCTCCCTCCCTTTTTAATTTAAAGTTTACATAGTGAACATACAGTGCAATATTGGTTTCTGGAGTAGAATTTAGTGATTCATCACTTACAACACCCAGTGCTCATCATGACAAGTGCCCTCCTTACTACCCTTCACCCCTATAGCCCATCCCCCCACCTCCCTCCCTCCATCAACCCTCAGTTTGTTTTCTACCATTAAGAGTCTCTTATGGTTGGTTTCCCTCTCTTCCTTTCCCTGCCCCCTTCCTGTACATTCATCTCTTCTGTTTCTTAAATTCCACATATGAGTGACATCATGTTTGTCTTTCTCTGACTGACTTACTTCACTTAGCATCACACACTCTAGCTCCATCCACATTGTTACAAATAGGCCAGGTTTCTTGGAATACCATTTTAAGGGCCCCAATGGTTTGGCTCCAACTTAATATTCAAGGCTTAATTCCTATGATTCTTTTTCTTGCATCTGTCTTCATTCAAAACCACACCATTTTGTCCCCATGCTCTCCTTATTACTGTTCCCTTTCTTACGTTTTTCCTTTTGCTTAGAATGTCTTTCCCCATCTTTACAGATCCAATCCCACCAGACTTTCACAATCTAGCTCAAATGCAGCCTTTTTTATGAAGCATTTTCCAACTCAACATTCAACAAATATGTACCAAGTACCTACAGAGCTTTAAGCCCTTTGAGACAACGGCCTACTTCCTTTTTCCTACCCAGCTGAAAATAATCTCTTTTCTCTGAGTTCTCATAGCAAATGGACATATTTTATGGCATGTAACATGGTCCATATTGTATTTTGTTTCTTGACATGCATACTTCTCTTCCCTTACCAGAATAAGCTCCAGATTTCCTAGTGCTTGTAAGAGGGCACTTGATAAATATATGTGAAAAAAGTAAATATCCAGTTGTTTGATCTCCAAACAGTGAGAACATCATTTTTTTTCTGATTTGGTGGAATATTTTGATCATTATGTAGATGTAGTTTGAATTCCACAAGCAAAACCAGTAGAAGCAAGCTCAAAAGAAAGGGACAGTAATTCAGGAGATATAAACCATTGACAAAAATAAAAACCATTCTACTAACCATCCTAACAGGTTAGCAATTAGAATAACTGACCTACCTACCTAAAAAAAAATACCAACTATTTCTTTGCCAGAATACCCAGGTCATATTTATTATATAATAATGATATTAAGTAAATCAAGGGAGGAAAGGTAAGTATTGATCAAGGAAGACTGGCATTTTTGCTTTAGCTTATATTTAATAAACATATACTATGTGCTAGGTAGTATACTAAATATTTTATATGCATTATCATATCACATTCAGTATTCATACAATAAGACTAAACACCTATGTCCAGAGACTTCATCTTTTCTTTTCTTTTTATGTTTAATTGTGGTAAAATATACATGACATAAAATTTACCATCTTAGCTATTTTTAAATGTACAGTTCAGTAGTGCTAAGTATATTCACACTGTTGTGCAAGCAATCTCCAGAACAATTTTCATCTTGCAAAAATCAAACTCAGTATACAGAATACCCTATATCTCCTATGAGTAGAACCATACAGCATTTCTCTTCATGACTGGATTATTTCACTTGGCATAATGTCCTCAAGGTTCACCCATGTGGTAGCATGTTCAATGTATCAGAATGTCCTTTTTTTTTTAAGTAGGCTCCATTCTCAGCAGAGAGCACAAAATGAGGCTTGAACTTATAACCCTGAGCTCAACACCTGAGACAAGATCAAGACCTGAGCCAATATCAAAAGTTGGACACCCAACCGACTGAGCCACCCAGGCACCCCAGATTGTCCTTCCTTTTTAAGGCTGAATAATATTCTATGGCATGGATATACCACCTTTATTAATCCATTCATCTGTTGATGGGCAAATGGGTTGCTCCCACCTTTTGTATATTGTGAATAATGCAACTATGAACATGGGTATACATATAAAAATCTGTGTGAAAACCTGCTGTCAATTCTTTTGGGTATCAAACCAGAAGTGGGCTTGCTGGATCACATGGCAATTCTATTTTTAATAGCCACACTATTTCATAGCCTTTACTCATTACCACTATTGATTTATTGCTATCACCCTTATTGCCCAGGGTGACATGAAGCAGGCCAGAATCTGTCCTCTATAAAAGGTTGATCATCCAGGACTCTTTGAAGCAACAGTTAGGAAACTCACTAATGTTAATTATTTCAAAATAAAAGCATGTAAAGGTAAGCCTTGTCTAAGATAACTTTCTGTCTAATGCCTATGGGTATTCTTGCTGCTGCTCTATCACTTCTAAGCACTTTGAACTAGGTTACTTATTTTCTAGTCACTTCTCTAAGACTATCTATGTGAGCTTGGGCAAAGTTACCTCCCCCACTGCATCGCAGTTTATTGGAACAGGTGATGCTCAGAGGTATAGCAGTATGACCTCAGTTGAGTTATTTCACGTCTCTGAACCTCATCTGTAAAATGCAGACAATGGTAAGACCTACCTAATCTCGTTGTCAAGAAAGGCTAAGTGAATGTAAAATGTTATCCTCCCAGTGCCTGGCACATTGTAAGTGCTGAGTCAAGAGAAGTCACTGTCATGACGATTATTATTTTCAAGATTGTTTGCATAAGAGAAATAGAAACATCTGTCTATGTAAAGATTTATACATGCATGTTCATAGTAGCTTTATCTACAACAGCCAAAGCCTGGCAATGCTCCAGAGAGACTTCAGTGGGTAAATTGTGAAACAAACAGTGGTACAGCCATACCATGGAAGACTACTTGGCAATAAAAAGGAACAAACTACTGAGAACATGTGACTAGGATGAACTGTAAGAGCATTATGCTGAGCATTAAGCCAATCACCAATGGTCATATACTATATGATTCTGTGTTCATGAAATGTCCAGAAAGACAAATCCATAATACCAGACCAGTGACTGCCTGGGGCTAGGGTGGGAATGGGATGGGGAATAACCATAAGCAGGCATAAGGGATCTTAGGAGGTGATGGAAATATTCTAAAACTGGATTAAGGCAATGGTAGGGCTGGTATACACATTTACCTAAACTCACCAAACTGTACACTTAAAAATGGGTGAATTTTATAGATTTAAATTATACCTTTAAAAGACTGTTTAAAAAGAGAAGAGATATCTAAACTGAATCTTTGTGATGGCATTCTGTTGGACTGTCAGAAACACTGATCACTCCAAACCATTTTCAATTTTTCACTTACCGAGGGATGGGCTGCTATGTATCCGTGTGCGCTTTTATCTGAAAAGTAAAGATAAGGACGTCACCTTTATTTCATGAAGCCTGCCTCCCTTAGAGATCAGAGTTAATAAAAAATTAACCTGCATGCCTTTGACCAGAAGGAAATTCTCCAATTTGCTATTGAACAGATTCTATGACAAATGACTTTGTTGTTCTGAAAATAGCTCACACCATTGCCCCCTCACATGTCATTTTATAGACCTTAGTGCAGGCCTCTGGAGAATCTCATCTATATAGAGGACTATCGATATTACATACTACTTTCTTTAAAAAAAGATTTTATTTATTTGAGAGCGAGAGAAAGAGAGTGCAAACATGCATGCAAACAAGGGGAGGGGCAGAGGGAGAGGGAGAGAGAAGCCTCAAGCAGAGTCCCTACTGAGCACAGAGTTCAATGCAGGGCTCAATCCCAGGACCTGAGATGGTGACCTGAGCTGAAATCAAGAGTTGGATGCTTAACCAACTGAGCCACCCAGGTGCCTGGAGATTACCTACTCCTGAGGTATGAATCTATACATCTATATCCAGAATTTCTCCCCTATTTCCTCTCTCCCTTCTCTTCCACCCTGCCTTCCTTCCTTTCTCTTTCTCCTCCCCCACCCCCACCTCCTCTCATCCCATTCCTTGGTCTCAACTCTAGAGCATCTCAGAATGTCTGGTGAGTTTCACTCAGCTTAGACAATACTAGAATGAAGCATTTTTGGTTCTGGTAGCCTGTGGTTCTCTAGTGAACCTGGAGGACAGTTCTAGACTTCCTCACATTAATTAAGCACTGTTTGATGTGTCACTAGGATCTCTGAGGCCTATCATGTATATGGAAGACTAAATATCATAAAACCTCTCCTTGCTGGCCTTTTTTCCTTTTCAGTGTTCTGCCCTGGAGAATAGCAGTTAAACTATCTTCTCAGTTAAAAACGTCCCATGGAGCTTGTGAATTACTACATGCCTTAAGTTTGGGCTTTGACATGTGTTATGACCAAAGGAGACACTCCTCCCCTTCCAAGTGTCCCCTTGCACCATCCCTGAAGATATTTTAGGCCTGCCCTATGTTAAAACCATTGCTAAGAGGTGGGGGCTCTTTACAGCTGGACCACTAATGATAGGATTCTCTTCTTTTTTTAGATGTTAAATAATAAGTTGTTCTAGAGAGGCACCCTGGATTATCTTTCTCAAAACACAAAAATATTGTTTGGCATATATTTTTCAGTTGCTTATAGTGCAAATGTGAACCTTAAAGTTTCAAACAAAGGCTCAGTCTATGTGCTAGCAACTGAAGTCAAGATTTGGCAGGAACATGACCATTTCAATTTCTTATAAATAGCCAGACGTGATTTCTTTCTTTAAGCGTGATTTTAAAGTTGGATCAAAATAACCTGGCAACCACAAAATGAATGCTGTATCATCAGGGTCCAATTCAATGAATTGGAGGGAAAAAATAAACTTTAGGAGATCACGGTTGGACCCATATGCCTCTTATCTCATGGGCACATCACAAGGCCTGATCCTACATGACTAAGGAAGTGTCTTCTTCATGCCAGTGCAGAGACCAAACACTTGTGATTGCTGATTCAAAGTGACAACTGCTGCTTCACTGAGCAATTAATTCCCCCTACTCGAGTTCTAAAAACAGCCAAGTCATAAACTGCCTCACATCAACTTTACCTTCCAGCCTATCTTTCCATTTACTGTCACTGAAGTCATTTGGAGAAGATACTAGAACTGACTTCAGATGCCCTACAGGCATTCTGGTCTAATCCTGAGGCTCTGAGATGAGAATTCCTTCTTCTCTCTTTGATACCTTGGAATCCTCTTACCTCCCGATGTAAAGCTCATGTATTTCTGGTTGTTGACCGTTTCTTTGGAATCGTAGAATTTGAGAACATCCAGGACGGCTTGTGGGTTCTTCTTCTGTTCCAGTTTTGTTATGTTGGAGGTTTGGAGTAACCGTGCCCACTGCTCAGGGATTCCCTGTGGACAACCAGAGGGAAAGAATGGCAGCTCAGAACATTCAGCAGCTGCATTTTCATGTTCCAGTAAAGTTCTTCACCAAGAAGCCCATGCTACCTGTAGGATTACACTTGGGAAACTGGAGTGACACTCTAGATTTAAAGTTAGTAACTTAATAATGCAATCATTCTCTTCTCTAATTAAAACACATAGGTAAAACTAGGATCCAACTTAAAAAGGGTGGGTGGGAGTATGACTGTGATAGAAAAAAAAAGCGCATGAAAATCACCTCCATATTAATTCTGCTCATCCATGAAATGATGTTTACGGCTTAGCTTATTTTTTCTGGCGACTCAGGGCAGACATAGCAAGACTTCTCTAAATTTGTGCACAGTATAGTATAGTGCAGATCAATGGATTTTATATGACTAGAATCACATAAGCTCTTTCTGGGCATGTAGTAATCGGAAGATCTTTCCGAATGGAAGAAAAGCCTCACCCTTGGGCAGTTTCCACTTTGCGATTACAAAATGTAATTTTTGGGGGTGGGTGCTCTAGGGCTTTAATACAGAGGGGAATTGAGAGGAGGCAAAAATAGAATAGAGGAGGAGCAACAGCCAGGAGGTGCTAAATAGTTTCTCCTCACCTCCCTCCATCCCCTCCTCCCCACTTTGCTCATTGGCCACATAGAACCTGGGGACTGTGACACCCGTGGCAAAGCCTTGTGAGAATTGGCAATACTCTAAAGGATTTAGAGCAGAGAGGAGGGAGCGTTTGGAACTCGAACCCGGGACAATTGCACCAATTACACTGAAAGATTAGCTTCGCGTTGAGCGTTGAGCCTTCTTTCCTACATGTTCAGCCTATGGATGCCCCCATTTGTAATTATCCAGCCTCCAAGGGCAACTTGGAGTGAGAGACAGACACACTGTTCCTGGAGTGCATCTAGACACAATTTGCGTGGCCTTGCCCTCTGAAGTCTCGGCAAAACAATGTGTGACGTGGGCCTCCAGAGTTTGGGAATGACAACGAAAAAGTGAGATAAGCCAAGCAACAACTCTACTGCACACACATGAACCTGCTGCGCAGTGCTATGACATCTCAAAGAAGCACTTTGATGCAAGCTTCTTTTGGGCCTGTGACGCACCTCTGGGAGCTTCCCTGGGCACATCTGTGAGCCATAGAGATCTGGCTGTAATGGACGTAAATAAAGAAAGAAAAGAAAGTTAAAACAGAATGTGGGACAACTTAGAAGGTGGGAGGAGATGAAACCAATGGGTCTGAATGGGGGGGGGTCATCCCTTCTCAAATGGGGCGGTTATGAAAATTGAGAGGTCTTAACTCCATCAGGGGCAGGACAGGTTAGGACAACAGATTGCAGGAAACAGAGGGGGAGAAAAAAGACAACGTTCTCAAGTTGGGACGCGTAATTCCACTTGGGGCCAGGTGTTTCCTCCATAAATACACAATAGTAAGAATTACAGTTAAAGGACTGGAGAAATTACCAGAAGGCAGAAACATGACTTTGGAGGGAAGAAGGATGGCATCATGAAAAGCTTTGACGATAATTTGTAAGTCTGTGTTTACGACTGGGTGATCACAGGTAGCCAATGGCCATGTGATGAACTTACAAATTTCAGTTCCCAATTCTGGGTAACAATTTCCAGTTTCACAGTGGAAGTGTCTGTGTGGCTAAAATGGACAGGATGGTGACACAGGAATGCTAAATTTCACTGCATTCTCATTGATGCGATTCTTCTGCAAGATGCAGTGAGAAAGTCATGACTGGTTTAGGGAAAACTAGATTAAGGATTTCCCACACAGTCAGACTCTACCTTTGAGTTTCTTTAGACCAGGGGAAAAAGGGAAACCATTGCATTTCAAAGCATATATGAACAATTTCCATTTTAGTGCTACAGTTCTGAAGTCCTGGCTTCCCACAAAATGAGTTCAGATATAAGGTAACGACTTTGTCTAAATTAAGAGATTGTCTCCAAAGCTACAGAAACATGCTTCGACCCAACTGGTTTGATTTGGGATACAGGTCTTTGATTCCTGGTATTTGGGGTTACTCCAAGCACAGTGAAACAACACTTTGACATGCATTAATCACGCAATTCGATGCTAAAGCCTTAAGCCACATATTTGAACTCAGGAGCCCATGCATGATCCCAGTTCTGATTCTAAGTGCAATTAATAGCATTTGGTTAATACTGTCATGGCCAAAGGAGTTATTAAGTGTTACAAAACCAGGTATGCATTGCACATAACCACTAGGGCAGACATCACTGGCATGATCATTACCGTAATTATCAGAATATTCTCAGTTATTATACATTCTGATGGCACTTCTAAACTTTTGTGATAAATCAAAGTCTCGTGATCACTAGACAGCAGGGAAACATGCTGTCAATTGCAGAAGATCCTTCAGACAACTATACTTACCCCATGACTACCCTGCTGACATCATTTCTTGTATCTTTGAGAAGTTGAGATAAACTAGTCGATCAATGAGACCTTACACTTAAATTTGAATGTATGCCCCAAAGGCACATCATCAGAAAGCCATCTCATTACTCCAGATTGAGGTACAAATCCCAAAAGTTAAGACAGCTAATGGAGACCTAGAAGTATGAGCATCAGAAGCAGGAGCACATTTCAATGCCTGACCACGTGTACAAAAACAACCAGATGTACAACAAGCTGGGGATTGTCTGGTGTAGCCCAGGAAAATGGCAGCATGATACAACAGGCCAAGCATTTATCTTATAAGAATGATCATGTATATCACTCATACCATTTTTCCCTCTGATTCACTGGAAGCGACCGTCACAGGTCTAGAGGTCTGGAAGGGGGAGTTCTGAAGTATTTGGGACAAAAATGGCAATATAAAGGGTAAGGACTTTTCATAGTTTAATACCCCAAATCTCACCTCCCAACCGAATTTGAATCTCAAGGTCCAAGTATATAACCAGGTGTACAAGGTTATATGGACCAACTAGCCATAGGACAATCAGCAAGGGGCACACCAAATCGGCATCCAAGCATTCATAATGACAGGCCCTTGGAAGACAACTGAACAAAACAGTTCAACAAATTGCTCAAAATTCAACCTAAGCAACAGCAATAATCAAATTTGGCAATATGCCCCCCACCACACGTGCCTGTGCACATACGCAAGCATGCACACAATACATTAGTGGTACTGTGGCAAATAGGACCCAATTTTAAATGCTACCACCAAAATGATTTTAAAAGCTTATTATCATTGGGCAGTTTTTAAAGTTGATAAACATAAACCATAGGTGAAAAGAATTTAAAAGGACAGAATTTGGTGTCTTTAAAGACAATGTGTGGACAAATAGTTTCAAAAGACCACAAGAGGACAATAAATGCATCAGATTTCCAAATTTAGCCTGTTGTCTGTCCATATCTTCAAAGGATTTCCAACAACTGCTTGCCTCCAAACAGATGTTTTATTTTAAATTGGGTGCGGGGTAGGCGGTGGGGGGGCAGGTGTTGGTTTGGTTGGGTTCAGTTGTATCAATCTGTTGGCTAAAATTGGAAAGAGTGCCTGTCGCATATCCCACCCCCAGCCCTCTCTGGTGGGTTCTTTGGGTTCTAACCGATGGCCAAGTGATAATGCAGTCAGCCAAATGATGGTGATTCACTTTTTTTATTTCCATTCAGAACCCCAAAAGAACAAAGAAATAACTCAAGATAGATGGTATCATAAGATGTCAAGCAAGTTGGAAAGTGCAGAAAAAATTTAAAAAGCAAATTAGAAAGGAACCAGAATGTCACATGAGAATAGTGGAGGAGAAAGCTTTCACATCAGACCATTAAAAGGAAGGAAAAAAAAAAAACGTGGCATGAGAGCAATAAAACATAAGAAAAGTTAATGCAGAAGAAAAGCACACAGAAAATAAAACAGGTCAAAACTGGAAGCATAACGTTCTTAAAATAAAAAGAGGGAACAGTTAATAAACCACATTTATAAAATTGAAGTGCTTTGACTGTTTCAAATGTCAAAAATGTTGTAGTATTTTTGTTTAGATTACAAAAATCATTATTATTGTTTTTGGGGGGTGGTGACAGTGGTAATGGTAGTGGTGACAGCAGTCAAGGCCATTTGAATAATGTCTCTGACTCCAGGGATGAAATTGGTTAAATCCTACCAGTGTCTCAACTTTATCAACATCAGTATTTCTTTACGTTCTCTTCTACTTTGTATTGAGAGTACAGAAATAATCAGCTCACGTTACTTTGCAAGGCCAAGATGTTTACTCCATTTTGATTTTATTCTCATATTGCGTACTTCCAGAATTGGGAAAAAAAAAAGGGCAATTTGGCTGTCACTTCAGAGACATGGTTTGCTTCTCCAAATCCAGTTAATTTGTCCCCCACCCCTTTTTGGTTCACTCAGTCATATAAGTTTACTTATTAACCATCAAGTTATGAAACAGAAAATTTAATTATTTTACCTCTAAAATTATTGGTTTTAGAACCCAAGATTCAGTGGTGATGATATCATAAAACACTTTTTTTTTCTGAATAAAAGTACTCATTATCTCAGAATGTACATTTTTATTGAGATCCTTACTAGTACAGAAAAAGGTAGTTGATCTTCCTGGGGACATATTTCTAGCCACATCTTTTCCTTCATTCATCTAAAAACAAAGATGCCAGATCTTGGAAAAAAAAAAAGTACAAAATGATAGATCTTGTGTTATTTGAGCACTACAGATATCCAAAGAAAGGCTGAGTCTATAGCTCTGGTCTTTCTGGAGAATTTGTATTGGTATTTATTGTGGATTGCATATATTTAAAGCACATAACCACTAAAGCACACAAGATATATTCATAAATATTCTTCCTGAAACATGGGGTTTGTTGTTTTGAAGGCCTTTGAAATATACCTGTTAATAAGCCTAAAAATAAGCCATGTTCTTGAAATCAAAGGGAAGACCAGGTCAGTTGTACAGAGATTTTTGGTTAGTGTGGTGAGCTTATCTGAGTAATCCAGGTTCTAATGTCAAGCCTGAATTATTCAGATGGACTGTCTTCACTGGCCAAGTTGAGTCAGTTGATTCTCTGATTCACTTCAAACAATAAAGAACAGACTCAAAAGAGTCTCTACCAGGACTACGTCTCCTGTGCCATAGAAAATTCGCATTTCCAATCACATTGAAGACTAACTGCGATTAGACATTTTTACGATGGATAAAATAATTTTTCCCAATACTCTTGCCACTCTCTAGTTCCAATGGGGATTGACTCAGTATAGTCCATTTTCCTTGAAATCATCCAAAGCATCAAGCCTGACATTCTGGGACATGGGCAGGCTTTCTTGAAACCTATTTTCACAAAGGAATTTTTTCATGGCTTGCAAAACAATAAGGAGCTTACTTACAGTGAACTCCCCGGTGACAGCATCAAACCCCACATGAATCGTATGTTCAAAGTCTGAAGGAAGAGAGATCTCTGGGCGTTCTTTCTCCTTCTTCTTATTGGCTAAAGGCAAAATGTTAACAGGTATTTATTGGGGACATAGTTTTGTCATCTCTAAGTTGTACAATTAGGTTCATCAAAAACAACTACAAAGCTGAAAGACAACTGAATCCAACACAAGCTTAATAGGATTTAGCTCCAGAAATTATAATTTCATCTGCAGAAGTAGCTGAGAGTTTGACAAAAAATATTACATCCAGATGATTTACAAATTCCCCAACTCCAGTTCCAACAAAACTTGCAGTCACATTGATTTATGTCCTTTACCAGTCTAAAAATGTAATCAACAGATATCTAGGTATATTGTGATTAACTGGCTTTGTTGGATTGAATAGGACTTACTAAAGAAGCAATTCATTATGATCAGGTCAAGCTAAGTCTTACTATTAGAAAAAAAAAACATAAAAGTGCTAAACCTGTCTATAAAAGCATTAATGAATTGTTTCCATGTTAACCATAGCGAAATAGAACTTATTTACGTTTACATTATGAAGCATATTTTAATACACTCTTTGTCTTCTTTCAGTGAGAACACTACTGCAAACCATTAATGTTACACATCTTTATCATTAAAAATGTTTGTAATCGTTTACTCCTCAGCAGTTTGCTAGTAAGAAAATATAAATGGCTGCTTTTTACTGAATTAATTTTACTTAGTTCTTAGTAACCTCAAATCAATGCCTTGGCTCAGTCATTCCAGTTTGTAGCTATTTCTCCATGTTCCTAATATTTTTTTTGTCATATTAGCCATTCAAAATCATAGTCCTCAAGTAGCGGATTTTTCATAGTGACACAACTATGAAGAAACACGTCCACAGTTAATATGTCAAAACCTTTAAAGATATTATCACTGGAGAAATTAAGTTGGGAACTGTAATGAAATTAGTTTATCTTGGAATAGATTCCATAAGGAAGTTGCCGTGGAAATGTAAAATGGCATTAGGTAGGTTCCATAATAGCCACATAAGCACATCAGAGCACGTATCTCTGATTGGGGTGCATTTTACACTCAAAAGATAATAAAAATACTCACCCTCCTAATAATGGGAAACTCAGCATGATTTGCCCAATTGAAACCAGTCAACCTCAGAATTGCCAGGGTGGCCAACTTAGAACACTCTGGTTCAAATAGATGTTTCCTTGGCCTGAATTTTAGACAACATTCAATTAACCACATATGGATTACTGGTTTTATGGGTTACCCAGGATAAATTTTCAATTCAAAACCTTTCACATTCAAATGTCATTCTCATGGTTTCTTTTCTCTTTCTACCCTCTCTTACTACTCCCTATCTCCAGCCAGAGGACAGAGAGATGGTGCAGAAATACAGACATTCAAGGAGTAAGAAGATTAAGATACAGGATTAGGAAAGAAAGATTGGAGGCAGGGGTGGGGGAACAAGGGTCACTCAAAGCCTTTGTCTGGCCACAGAACACATTAGGACTCATTTTGAAAAGTATATATGTGCCATTCAACTTGACTTCAGCTTGGATACTGTGTTCACAGCAAGTCTGCTTTATTGAATATGAAGCTTAGACCTTTTTATGTGGGTACCCACTTCTGCTGTGTGTTTTGGTACCATAGCTACCACTCATACTTGCTTGGCTGCCAGGCCATTATCCTAGCCACTCCTCTGATTGTGTCCTTGTTTTTTCTCTTCCCTGCTCTCCCATACATGTTGGGTGTAGCTGACTCTCTCTCTTTTTACTTCCTTCACAGTGTGGTCTGATTCTTCTCCTCCATCGGTGCCATTCTTTATTTGATTGGCACTGCTTGCCCTTCTGCCTTTTCTAATGCAGTCTTTGGCCTTTAACAGTCCTTTCTTTGCACTCATCCCTCTTGGATGGTATCTGATGCCAGAAACTAACCCATACTGGGTAACTTCCTGATCCGTGGTTGGCTAGGGATGATCTGGGTATTGTGTGACCAAATGCTTTACACAATTCAAGAGGAATGTTCCCTTTAAGGAAAAACACACTACAAAGACTGCCAGTTCCTCAAGGCAGTGAGGAACTCTAAAGAAGTGTTATTCGCTTCATAGTTAATCTACTCCTAGTGACAGGTGACTCTCTTGGGGTCAAAGACAGCTCTGAAATTCTGAAGAAGGCTGTGGAACTTCTGCCCATAATTACACTGTACACATATACACAATTTTGCATATAATTTCAAAGGCTTAAAACTCCCCTGACTCTAGGTTGAGAACCCATAGCTCAATCTATGTCTCCAATCACTGTATCAACTTGCATTCATGACCTCTCTTGCTAGCAGTCTCTCCTTACTTTCCATTAGTATTGGTCGAATGTTTGAGGACTATTGACTTAGCCTAACCACTTCACTTGGGCTGAGCTATATGAATTGGCTTTGTGGAGTCTCTCTAGAAGGTTACCCAGTTGCCAGTCCCTCACCAGCCTGATCATGCCCTTCCCTTCACTCAGGGCTAAGCCTATCAAAGGCAGGAAGCCCAAACTTGCTCTTCCTCCAAGTCCATGTTCTCTCAGTGAAATGATACCACTAACCACCCAGATCAGAAAGGATTCAGGCTTTAGACACCAACTCTTTTGGGAGGCCCTGAGCAATGAAAAGATTATGAAACCCCACTCCAACATGAAATTCAAATAAAAACAATAGTAAAGCATAAAAAGGTTAAAAAGTCCAAAAAGTTCTGCTACTCCTATGGTGATGAAGTCTTTCTAAAAACTACATATACAGACTAAAAATGTGGCCAGGTTTTGGGGGCCCCTGATTTGCGGAGCCTGCAGCCCTGCTTACTCTCGTTATTGGGTAATTCAGCACTGGCCCAACTTCCCAAGCCATAAATTTGGCAGCTTCTTTGATTGCCACTGTATTTCTACCTTAATTGGTCACCAAATTCTAGTGTATCTCCCACACTCATCTTGAATCTATGTTCTTCCTTTCTTCCCCACAAACCATCACCTTAGTCTAAGGTACCGCTATTTCTCACCTGGTCTTATTGCCTCCAATCTTGCCTCCTGCTCTTCATTACTTTGTAATGAACACAAATCTGACCACATCCCTGTCATTAAGATCCTTAAATGACCCCCCATTGCCCATATGGTAGAAGTTCATGCTCATTAACATGCTACCCAGGGGCCTGCACAATCTGCCCCAAGCTTACCTCTCTGTGGTCTATTCTCGCCATAACCCCCACTGTCCCATACCCACATCATGCTCCCTAAACAGCTAGATTTTTCTCTTACTGCCAAGACTTTCATGCTAGGCCAAGTCCTGGCAACTCTTCTATCTTACCAAGATCCCTCACCCCACACTTTGGATGGATAACTCCCATTAGTCCTTATTCTTGAAGACTCACTCACTCTTGGGCTTCCTCTTCTTTGGGAAGTCTTATTCTGTCTTCCCTTTGCAGATGAAGTTAAATGCCCTTCTCTTCAGGCTTCCATAGAACTGTCCAGTGCATACTCAGATCTTGGCATGGATCAATACTGGATTGTTATTTCTTCTTTATATACCTGTCTCTCTAGATAAAATTGGAGATACTTGACAGAAAAGACTGTATCTTACTCATTCTCACATCCCTTAGCACCTGGCTTATGTCTGCACACTTAATGATTTTAATTTAGGGAACAGTCACCATGTGCAAAAAGTGCTTCTAGGGTCATCTCATTTAATTTCCATCACAATCTCATTAGGTAAACCTTATTAGTATTGTACTATTGTTCTGTAGATGAGGAAAGTGTGAGTAAGGTTCAACCACATACCCAGGGTTATAGAGCTAGCAGGTGTCAGAGCCAGAATTTGAACCTAGGTCCCAACCATATCTACAGAGCCCACATTCTTAACAGCTACACCATTTATTATTCAGTATCATTTAAAAAACAACATTTTTGAGTCCTAGTCTTCAGTAAATATGATTGAATGGTGCTTAGATGAGAATTTTTTGTCTCTTTTCTTTTACACTAAAATGTCTGTCTGTATATCCTTCCAGAAAATTCTATTGAGTATTGGTTATTTACATTAAGATACAGTCTAACCTGTAAGACTCAGCCTGATCAGATCTGGGATGATGTCTGCAGAGAGCAGAAAACAAATGAGTACCACTTTCTAAGTGTATCATCCATACCCTACTGGAACATAGAACTAAGGCCACAGGTTGCCAACTAGGCTACAGTCTACAAAGTGTTTGGCCTTGGGACCCTCTGGGTGTGCATGAGTTCTGGCTATAACTCCAGGGGCCAGTGAACCTCCAGAGAGTCTCTCATCTTGACACCTTTCTCCATCTCACTTACATGTTAAAGAAAGAAAAGGCCCCTAGTCATCCATCCTCCTCTATGCCCTACCCCAATCAATGTCCTGCATTTTCCCCAGTACCTACAGCTTATTCCATTACCAATTCCCTAAACCTTCAACCTGTTCATTAAATGCTCTCTTCACTTCTTGCCTCAGGTTTCAAACTGCACTGTGCATCACTCTCATTGGGAAAATTTAGAGAGAGGGAGGTGTCTGAACCTCACCCCGAGAGATTCAGATTCAGTTAGTCTGGGGCAGAGCCCAGAACCTTTAATTTGTAAAGCTCTTCTGCTTTCTCCATTAAGCAACTGGGGTGGAGAAAAACAACTTCCAATTCTACTCTCCAATGGGGGTACCACTTCCTCAGATAATCCTGATGGACGCTGCTCATTCTTCCTCATCCCAAGTTCTTAGGTGTGGAGGAATGAGGCAGGGCGGGGTTTCCCCTTTCACTTCAAAGCTGTTGATCTGAGATCAGTACTTCTGCACTTGCCTACAAAAGCCCCTTCTTTGAGGTTACTGCCATTCAGTGCTCTTGGCCAAGTCCCCTTATCCATTGAGGACTCAGGCTCCTGGTCTTCCTTCCTACCCTCAGTGCTGCCATCACTCTGTGAAACGTGATATATATAAATGGACATCTCTTTCACACTCTTTCCTTTTAACTCCTTGACCTCCCTCAACACTAAGGAATTTCAGCTCCCTTCTAGTTCAGTCTGCTCCTATGGCCACCACTAAC